CGTAGACTATCAATCAAATATTGTGTATCTGTTCGTTTTCAAGCGCATGTAAGCGTAGACGCGATTATAGGTCGCAACCGCACTACTAGTAGTACCGGCAACGGAGTGCTACTACTGATGCGGCTTTCTAAGCGATATTCCCTGCTAGTAGTTCATTCACTGACTTGTTGGCATGCTTTGCCCTGAACTACTTTTATCCAGGCGATTCTGCGGCTTGGTGTCGTGCATCCATGCGAATAGAGGAGTTCAATCGCTGTTTGGCAACCGGTGTGAAATATGATGAAAAACTAAATTATTTTGCGTGATCCCACTTTAGATCTGGTTTTAGAGTTTTGGGTTTAGCGTCAGGGGTGGGGATGCTCTAAGAGCAACCCCACCCAGCATCCCCACCCCTAACAAGTCAAATAATGCTCGCGTATTGCCAAGCTCTTAAGTGCGAACGGAGTCGTACCTAAGCAGTTCTGGGGCGGCGGGCAGTCAAGCGGCGTCATCAAAGCGGTCGTTCTTGGAGGTATGGGTGGCCGTCATTCCACAAACAATCGTCGTCGGGGCTTCTTGGTCTTGGGCCACTGTGGCCAGGCGAACCGAACCGGGAGCGCTGGCACTTGGCGCCTTTGACAAAGGGATGAGGCGAGTGGACGTCTTCATGCGGAGGTACCTATAAACGATCGTCGTGAGGAGTAGTGCGTTTGGCAGCCGATTGATCGCCCAAGCTTTAGTTCGGCGAACGCCGTCCCTCTGTACACTTACCGCCCGGCGCCGAAGCTCCGACGGCATCGGGGTGGCGAACCTTCGTACTGTATAGTCCGAAACTATGGGTAAACTTATCCGGAAGCAGGCAGCGATGTAGATGCTATAACATTAATTGGCCAAAATGGCATATTTTTGACAAATAATATTAATGGATGGATTTGCTGCTTGGTTTACGAAACCGAGCGGACTGAAATCGAGAGGAAATTTGGACCGGAGGCTTCGGGAAATCGCGAAATCTGGTTTCGCCTGGGCAAAACTCGCAAAACGTAACAGTATAATTTCGAATGAAAGCGTCTGGTAACATTTCAAAAAAAATATTCCATTTTCTCGCAAAATGGGATTAACCATAATGCCATTTTCAAAATGGAGGTAAAAGGTCTATTTTGTAATATGGCGTTTTGAACCTCTTCAACGAGTAAATCCCACATGGAATTATTGGATTTGGGTTATTATAAAACTCTTCGTACAAAACATGTTTCAATATTGATCAGATTTGTTGAATTCGGCCCCAAAATGGGATTTTGGAGCTGAATATTGCAATATTTCGGGTTACCAGACGCACCATTAATTTAATATGAATATAAAACGTTTTCGAAATGTAAACAGCATTCAATCTGAAAATTGAATACATTGACCTAAAAAATATAATAAATACTAAAACTATCTTTCTTTGTCCAAATTCTTCCAATTTTTTTGTCCATAGACCTCTCACCAAGGTTTCAACGAATATCAGATTCATGAACTTCGTGTTGGTTCGCGTGAAATCGTACCTCGAACATTGGAGTTTCGTCAACCTTCAACCTAAAAAAAACCAACCTAAACCTCCTTGAATTTCATATCGCTTTGGCGCAACGTTGAGATTACGTTCCGAGTTTGTTGAATATACTATTGGCAGTTAACAACATGTAAACAGGTGTTTACATTTTGTAAACTGACACGATTGATGAACTTTCGTGGCCAATTTTGACTCTATTTGAACGTATTTTCATTCAACAAACTTACGTATTCAATTTTCAGTTTACAAAATGTAAATGGGCTCTTTACATTTGGACAGGTCTTAATTTAAAAAATGTTTTCGAAAGTTGCATTCGAAATTATATTACGTTTTGCGAGTTTTGCCCAGGCGAAACCGGATTTCGCGGTTTCCCGCAGCCTCCAATGAATATACTAAAATATAGTGGCGGTTATTGAATTCACAATAACTGCCACGTTATTTTTTAGTATATTCATTTAAAAATGTACTTGTCAAATTTCATGAAGCACGACTAGTATATACTAGGTATATAGTAGTACGTTATGGAGTTCCCACTTCAGCTCTACTTTCTCAAAACCCCGCAGTCTCCTGGCATAAGGTCTTGAATAGGGGTTGGGGGAGTTCCTGGAATGAGGTCTTGAATAGGGGCTCGGGGAGTTCCTGGAATGAGGTCTTGAATAGGGGCTGGGGGAGTTCCTGGAATGAGGT